AGACTGACACTGCATAAAGGTGACTGATTGTGAGCCGTCACGCCAGTAAAAACCACTGTGCCAAGAAGTAAGGCTCAAATTCTAACTATTCATTCACTGTACTCATGTTTTCACAATTAGAGCTTAAATGTAACTTGCTTGTTTCAGGGAGTACTGGGTTTTTAAAATTTATTTAGAAAAATAAGTAGTGAAAAGGAACTCAGGTGGCCATGAGCTATGCATGCTTTTGTAAGAAGTGTTATTAACAGACAGCAACAATTTCCATCAGAACTATGATCCTCTATCACATCATTATCAAACAGCCTGTCCAGTCCAGGTACTACCTAGCTTAAGACTAAATCTCTGTATTCTCTCAACCAATATTATTACATGTACGAACTCCACTATTCTGTAAATGTCAAATGAGTCCATATTCCAACGCCAACTCTCTCCCCCTCCTCCTATGCATCACCCACCAAAAGCTGAGAATATTACAAATGAAATGCATGATTTCCCACTAATCTCAGGGGGAGTTTATAAAACCCGTTAAATACAGGATGGCTTCCCCAAGAAAAAAAAAAATATGCAAGATCCTGTTTCTCAAGGTTAGTAGTCTAATAAGATCTCCGGGTTTTAACAATTTAAGGCTTTGTCACAGTTGAAAGTTTTTTCTTCTATGATTATACAGCTATATTTTTATATTACTGTTATGATTCTATATACACATTTACACACACTCATACACTTAAATACTTTATTCAATGATACATATATAGTTCTACTAATATAAAACTCTGTTTATATTCTTTGTTTTAAAATAAGAATATTCACATGGGGAATTACTCCAGTACAGAAAAGGCAGTAAAATTATATAGTTACAGATTGTTCAATGTATCTCTAGGTATGCATCAACTCATTTAGAAGACTTCTACTCTGGCACAGAAACCTCTATCTTTCTTACTCCCCTAGCACTGAATTTAAACCACACCAGAGTTTTAACGTGTACTCCCAAGTATCCTAAAAAAGCCACCAAGCCATCCTGGTGAGACTGGAGGAAAGCTAGCAAACTCCTCTAAGAGGCTCAGCCTGTGCCACAGCTAGTTTATCTCCACAAAACTCCCCCATCCTCACCAGCTGGACCTTAAGAACCGGCATTTTCCATGACAGATACACAAAGTTTATTTTACTCTCCCCTTTTTTTCCCTGAAAGTCAAGGGGGTGTTGTACTCAAACAGGAAGATTTTTTCCCCTCTGGTTAAATCCTAAGCAAGTAATTTTCCTTTTGGGTTTGTCCCATTTATTTCTCAGCTTCTTTCCATTGGTCTGAGGAAAAAAATGAGTGAGATGGGAAGGTTCCACAAAACTGAGTGATACTAATTTCTGTTAAACTAAAATGGTTTAAAGCCGCACTGTGGTGGCCGCTGTAAAGCTGCAGAGTTAAAAGAAAAAAAAAAAAAAAAAAAACTTACAAAAACAGAGAGACCACTCTAAGCCAATGACTATACCTGATAAATTCAATTATTTTTTACGTTTAGTCAGTCTTACTTTTTTCCTACTGTTTGCTTACGATAGTGGAAATTTTCTCTACCCTCTCTGCCTTGAGGCTGCGGTTTCACAGCCTGAAGCCTTCTGCAGCTTAAAGCACACCTACCCGGGGCTGCCAGCTCCTGCGTGTGCCCATCTTGCTGCTGCCCACAGGTATTGTTGGCACCACTGACCGTAGTCTCATACTGAACATCTCAAGGCTCTGAACAGGCTCACAAGCTTTTTCTTTAAAACCTTGTAATGCTTGGCAGCACTACACCAAAGGAGCAAGAAGCATTTGACTCGAAGTCACAACTGCTGACAAAAATGGGGAAGTACGAAGACTTTCAGAAGAATAATAATCATTAAGAAGCAAAGGCAAGCACATTATAATCGTTATTATTTTACAGCTGCCCTTTAAAGCAGGGAACTAAGGTGATGCAGTTAATTAAAACTAACTGAAAGTAAACATGAGTTGTACAAAGCATTCCAATTTTATAACATCTTCAGAAAATCAGTGAAACCTGGGGGTGGGAGCACTGCTTCAAGATGACAAAATATTTAACATAATATCCCTTTATCCAAAATAATTGTACAGTAAAAATTGTCTTTAGAACACCTGCTCAAACATTAATTAGTGGAGAAATAAAATACAAAGACTGGACAAACCGATTCAAGTCACACTGTACCACAGCCTAAGTAACTGACAGAACTGCTCACAGCCAGCCTGAGCAAAGGGAGCCTGAATACACTGGGATTTACACTTAAACGGCTTCGCTAAGTGCTGGTGTAAAAATACATATAGATATGATAAAAGAGAACTGTATCCCTGCTGATGGAAATACACGA